GAAAGACAACGTGGGTGGACTGATATATCTTCGGTGTTGCGGGGGCGGTCTCTGCCTCCGGGGTCCCTCTTTTTGGCGGATGCGGCGTCGCCTTCGTGCACCAACGTGCATAAAACACCCATGTTCTTGTGTTGTCCGGTGGGCACGCGAGATTCCGCGCGCGAATAGAAAGACAGCCAACCGGGGGCAATTACAATGCCTGCATGTTTATCACACCCAATATGGGCAGCAACCATTTTGTTGATGGTCACATTTTACACCGGGACTGGAAAACGCGGCCTGGAGTGGGGTGTCGAACCTGGCTGGACACCGAGCGATTCTGCAGGCCCCTGGATGCGCAACGCATCACCTTCCGCATGTATCGACAGACCAGTGATGCATCCAGTGAGTCTTCAATGGGCCCCGCGACCCCACTTTTAGGGTCAGAAAGCTCCACGGACTGTTCGTGGCGAGTGCCGTTCACTCTGAGACTGGAAAACGCAGCCTGGTACGGAGATGCGATGCCAACACCTGACCTTCCATAACAATCAGTGAATATGCGATAAGTTACGGGATTTCTTCATTGTGCCCTGTATCCGAGGCTTGGCGTGAGGACTACAGATGTTTACGGTAGCGACTCTTTGTTCTGCAAGCTCGCGTATCCCAAAACGAAATGTGCGAATCAATTCCCATTTGGTTTCTATCAGACTCCCACACCATCACATTTGATATTTGAGACAAAGGCTGCAACAGATCAGATTTTCAAGGCTCTTACCTTCTTGCGGAAGATATGAACTGGTTAAGACAACAACTGAGCGGCGCCCGTCAACATGAAGGCACCCGATGTTGCTTGCAGGCCTGGCGAGAGATCAATTGCGTTGCCGAAAGGAATTCAAAGGATAAGAGACTATCGAAGCCCAAAGGCTGAACTGTGGGGATAAAATCCTAAGATTTTGTGCTTTGAATCTTAAGATAATTTTCTAGTCGAACACTTGCTGTAGAGATTGCAATACAAGATGAACAGGCTTTTATTTCACGCTGGTACTTTGAAGTAAGGAAAGTCGACGAAGGGGGAGAAAACGGAGGCAAAGAATTCAAGGCGAAGAAGGTGTCACCGATTTGATCTGACAGAGAAATGCTGGTGCCACGCCGTCACCGCGTGGATGTATCTTCTAATTTCGTTGCTGGTCATTCACACCATATACGCTTCTTTGCCGCAATAATACTCCGCTATCAAAACAGTGAATCCCATTGCATCTTTCAAAGCTCCAATCGATGCCCCGGGAAAATATGTGGAACGAACACTAGGCCACGCAGTGTTCGTCTGTCTGCATCCGTATCTCCAACCTCTGCTTCGAACTTGGTATGGGATGAATACCAAACCGTGTAGTCTTTCCGTAGCCTGATTAGTTCCCCCCTGTCGAATCGGCTATGTCCCCAGTGTCCAAGTTCCGGCATTGTGCGCGGAAGCAGTCGGTGCAGATCTTGCGAGTATGCGTTTCGTGTTGCCAGTAAAACCAAGGGCAAACCATGTTGGGTGTGATGTGAGACGAGAAGACGATTTCCCAGGGTTGAAAGGTGAACCAGGCGTTGCAGTATTGAAAGACTGCATTGACTGTTATAGAAACGAGATGGCCGCTGATCATGTCTTCCGCTCTTCCGCGAGGGCAAGAATTTGCGGCGGTGATGAAGTTTGCGCAGGGACACACCCAGATGTGCCTGGTCCTACCGCACATGGTGTCTCGCTTGGAAGAGGCTGGACTATGGTAGATGGATGTTGGTACCTTATTTCTTTCAGTTGTGCGACTCGTCAAAGAATTATAGAATGCGCGGTCGGATGAAGCAATGTTTGTGATCATGAAGTCGTTGGTTTTGAATTGGCGGGAGATGAAGGAAGGACAAATGCTGGTGAGGGAAGAGGGGCCCCTTGTTTCTCCCCCCTCCTCGGCACCCTCGTGTGGCTTGCGTACGGCAAGGTAGGCGCCTGCCATACGCAATTGTCACCTTCCTACGCTCTCTACGTTGTAACTGCCCTCTACGTTCAAACAGCTACTTTCACCTTTAGCTTGAGCAAAGTGCTCAATAAAGTAAGGGTAGCTATATCTATCGCACTTGCTCAGTGAGACTTGAGGTAGGAGGGCAGGCGCACTTAGAAAGCAGGCATAGGCACCAGCCACAGGCGATGCCGAGAAAGAGCTCCCAAGTAAGATGAGCCGAGCGAAGAAGGGCCAAGCTGGAGATGAAAGGAGGAAGGTGGCTCGCAAATAGTAAAGGCACCTGCTGTCGGGGCGAAGCTCAACTGGTGCAAGAGAGACCGTCTCAACCGCATCGCATTGGCATACGGCCCCCAATGTGCTCAATGAAGATGATCCGGAAAGCTACGTCTCGCTGGCATCTGATCACGGGTTGAATGTCCTTTTGGCTCAGAGAGTCTATGAAACAAATCAAATTTGCTTTGGTATCACAATGCGATCGCTTTTCCACGTCAAAAACTCACGAATATGGCAGTGGGAGATGCTGGCGAAGCAATCTCTACACGTTCTGTGACCGAGAGAACCCTCAGTAAATGGTAGGAAACCAACGCGGCTCACCGCAGACGAGGACACACCGGCTGCTGATCGAGTCCTACAAGCAGACCTGGCATGTGGACTCGCCGGCCTGGTAGTTAAGTCGAACATTCTGCAATTTGCCGCAGCAAGTACCACGATTGTCGGCAATAGACTGGCAAGCGGACTAGTGAGGGTAGCGAAGGATCTCCAGCGGACCCTAGCAGCGGTCAGACATAGTTGGCTACACCTGATGAAGATGCAGGGCTTCTCGGTGTTCGGCTTGGCCAGAGTAGAGCTTTGGGCTTAACAGAAAGTCGACGTTGTACTTAAGGTATGGTGAATAACGCGACTGCGATGGCTGCGGCGAACAGGGGCTGGCTGGGCCCTCGCAAGGGGTGACACCTGAGCAAGCCCAGACCTGGCTCTCTAGCTGGAATACCCAGTATGAGATTGCCAGCGGGAATTACTAGAATGACTTAATATCGAGAAAATGCGGTCTTCACGTACGGAGTCTGCCGGCGCGCTGACGATGTCTTCGCATCGACAGTATGACAATCTCAGGATGATGGGTGATAAAACGAGCAGCTGGCTTGCTTCAAAATTGTTATTTCTTGTGCTGGAAATTGTTGAGGCAGACATGACATGCAAGAAAAAAATCAAAGATTGACATGAGATAGCCAGATACTTGACGAACTTTGCGTGTATTCTGAATAGCGGCCCTAATCTTCGTCCATATTTCACAACTTTGGTCCCCCCTTACTCGCATCATCTGGACCTGCCGTCTTGTATCCGAACAAATAAGCTGCCACCTTCCGCATTTGAACTTCTTCGCTTCCTTCGGTGATTCTGTATCGTCTGAAGTGCCTCCAGATGTGTTCGAAGGGTAAATGTCGCGAGTATCCATCCCCGCCGTGAATCTGAATGGCTCGATCGGCTGAGTCGCACGCCAAACGATTCGCAATGTAGTTGCACATTGCAATCTTGTGACCGAGCTGTGTTTCGATGGCAACCCAAGGCGCCTTCCCTGCCGCCGTGGCCCCGGCGCTGACTTGGTCCATCTCCACTGCCGTCCGTAGGATGAGAAGTCTGAGCATCTCCGCTTGGGTCGAGAGTTCCACGAGGGGCCACTGAATAGCTTGGTTTGCCGATAAAGGCTTCCCGAAAACCTTTCGGCGGTTTGCGTGTTCAACACTCCGGTCAATGCAGTATCGCGCAGCCCCGCAACTTGACGCTGCCTGCCGGATCCTGTTCTCGTGGGTGAAGGTCTGCGCGATCGCCAGGCCGTTGTCAAGTGGCCCAAGAATGCATGTTGCCGGTACTAGAACGTTCTCGAAAATCACCGTGGCATGGTCGGTGGGCATATTTAACGTCCACTCGAAGGAGGCGACGGTAACTCCGGGTGTTGCGCGAGGTACTAGAAAAGCTGTGATGCCCCGCGCATCCCCAGCCTTGCCGGAGGTTCGCGCGAAGACTAGACAGTGGTTTGCGGTGTGCATCCCTGTTTGCCACTTCTTGTTGCCATTGATCATGAATCCTGGTTCGCCACTTGGCAGTTTGGTAGCATGGGCTGTCGTGTCCATATGCGTAGCATCAGAGCCGTGATGAATCTCGGTGAGTCCGAAAGTCGCCCTCATCTCGCCTCTGATGCTCGCGGGAATCAGTTCCTTCTTCTGTTGCGCAGTACCATAATGATGTAACATGATAATGAATGGCATGTTGCCAACGATGCTATGCTCGCTTTGAAGATCGTTTGCCAGGCTCACGCCTCCTCCATATACAGGATGAGATGCGAGATGATATCGCACGGCGCACATGTACAAATTCAGCGTTTCGACACCTGAGCCGCCATACTCCTTCGGACATGCAAAGCGATAAAATCCTGTCTTGTCGGCGATCCTTTTGGCCTTGTCAAGTAACGCCTCCCAGTCTTCAGTCGGCAAGCCTTGGTTGTTCCATTGAGTACGTGAGGCCTCACGACGATGGTCGAAGAAGCGATTGTTGTCATTTTCGTGTTGCAACGGAAGAATAGCGTCGTTGATGAAAGCGTCAAGTCGTTTTAGGAAATCTCGCACATCCTGTGGAAGTTCGAAGTTCATGACGAGTAGTTGACTAGGTTGCACTGCGAGATCCTAGTTGATTATTGCAAAACTTGTGTTGGAACCGTTTTCGAAACACCGTGATCGTGTTGAGGATTGGTCTCTTTTGGGGATTAGTATTACAAACCTTTGGAATTCGGAGCGTGGACGTCTGTGATTCTCGACTCAGCAGATGAAGATCGCTGACGTCGGCACCCGAGGGCCCTCGGCTTGTTCAAAACCCCGCATTACGGCATCCCCACATCCCCGCATCTCCGTATCCCGGCATTTCGCCTTCTCAACAACCCGGGAGGGTCAGGTATTCGAGCAAAACCTTAGGATATACTTGCATCTATCATCTGTTCTTTGATTAAAGCAGCTGACTCTCATCAACGCCATGTCTTCTTCCGGTTCACATCATGATGTCGACAACGAGGCCCTAGGAGAATACCTTCGCAAGTCAGGAACGATACCAGGTCTTCAGCTACCGATCACCACAACCAAGATTGGATATGGCCAGAGCAATCCAACCTACTTTCTTGATGATGCAGTGTTAGTATGAGATCTGAAAGGCTTTCTGCAAATACTTTTCATGGGCATAGCACGCTAACAGGGAACGCATTTCCTTCACGGCGGAACAGCGGCGACAGGTTCATCTTGAGAAAGAAACCTCAGGGCCAGACAATTAGCCCAGTAGCACATCAAGTTGACCGCGAGTTCAGAGTTCTTCAAGCTCTTGGTTCTGTTCCCAACTTCCCCGTGCCGCGGGTGTTCATTCTGTGCACTGAGGAATCGATTATAGGAACCTCGTTCTACGTACATCAGAAACCCATCAGTTTAGATATTTGAGACTAACCATGTGTGTCTCGTAGGTGGAGATTGCCATCACAGGTTAACGAGATGAAAAAGCTGGATTTCCGCAATAGAGACCCTAGCCTGGCTTCACTCGCTCGATCCAGATGCGATCGGTCTGGAAGGCTACGGCAAGAAGATTGGATTCTACGCTCGTCATTGTAACACTTGGAGCCGTATAGAGTCTCAGCAAGCTGCGGTCAGGGACAAGAAGACGGGTGAGCTTCTTGGGCGGGCTCACGAGAATTATGACGATATCATGTCCTACGTGAGAGAAAACCTTCCCGGCGAACGATTTTCCATCGTTCACGGGGATTTTAAATTTGACAACTTAGTAAGATCTCATTTCTCTCTGCATACGAAGTAGCGCTTACGGTTCTGACTTGTTGTAGATACTTCACCCTTCCGAGCCAAAAGTAATTGCGATCCTTGACTGGGAGCTATCGACGATTGGGCACCCGCTCATGGACCTCGTCTACTTCTTGAGTCCATTCTTTGATGACCATATCACACCTGGCCGGTCGATAACTGGCCCTCCTGAATCGCTTAGGCCAGAGCATCGACGGTCTAGAGGCATCCCAGAGCCAACGGAGCTCCTGGATCGTTACGCAGAAATCGTTGGCTTCGATCCGCGCAAAGACGGCGGCGGAAAGGATTGGGAGATCGCAGCAATCTTCCATTATGCTCGCTCTGGTACCATCAGTCACGGTATACAAGCACGCACGATGAAAGGCCAGGCCAGCAGCGAGTTCAGCCATATTTATTTCGAGAATACGCACAAGGCATTGTCCAATGCCTTCAAACGGGTACAGAGGCTGAAGGAGGGGAGAGGGCAAGGGCAGAAACTTTAGGCTCAATGATATACGTCGTGTCACTTTCCCGCGCAACGGGTGATTGTTGCGGTTCAACAATTGACCAAGAATGTGAATGTGCCGTACGTTAGCGTTGGGTTCTACGGTTTCCATGGTGCCATTTAGCCGCACACAGTGTGGAACGAGGGTTCGTGATCCAAAATATCTGAGTACGTTTTCAGAGCCTCATCTTCATGCATTCTCGCATCCTGGATGCCCAGAGTGACTACCGCCTAGTCTAATAAGACAAGGTTCATGGTGTGTACCTAGTTGCAGTCAAACATCGTGGCTGTTCGGAACATAAATCTCGCGCAGTCGTCTGAAGTACAATCTCGGCAACCGTACTCAGGTACTTCTGCACTGACTGGTTCAGCTCTGGGCCCCAGCTCATGGTTCTAGAATTTGTCTTCGCATCCATGTTGACAACGCTTGAAGCTGTGACCTTGGCCGAGCCAGTTCCCCGTTGCTCTATTGGCTCGAGTGGCTGACGACGCTGGCAGTTTACTCTTGCATTGCGTCGGCTAGTGGTGGAGTCATGTGGTCTAGATCTCGATGCTGAATATCATGCGAATCCCTATCACGATGGCAGAAGTTGGTTTGGAGACGAGTTGTCTAACAAGCGGTTCCAAATATGCTGGAATCTCAGGGGCATGCTGTCGAAGTGGGTTATTCCCTCCTCAACAGGTCCGGATAAGGAGTGGTGACCTGAGGCGCTCTGCAGACACAAAGCTTCCCGTGAAAGCCAATCTCAGCTGCCTATCTATCATCTTGCCTCTTGAATAAACTCTCTTGATTCTCCCCACTGACATGAAGCTGGGCGTGAGTCTATTTTCTGCTTGGTATCCCGAGCCCAGCTTCTTGGATTTCGTCGGGAACATGAACCTCCTCCAGGACGAAGGGCACAGTCCTTCATGATACCACTGCCGATGGGGATATGCGTTGGAAGACGGATCCCTTCTCCAAATACAAAGCATATTTCGGGAGAATGGTAAATGACGAGCTGTTGATGCTTTTGACAGCGTATGCTTCGGTACGGATGCACAGGCACCATTGAGATTCTGAAACCCCGTTCTCTCGCTGCAATTGTTTTCTCGAAATATTTCGTCATGCCGAATCCCCATCACGGACCTTCTCAAGATTGATAACCCAAAATTCATTAATGATGTATTGACGCCACGTCTGTACTGAACTCAACTGATAATTTTAAACTACACGTTTTTGTGTCCGCCTTACCCATCCCAGCTTCAGCCATCCCAGGCGAGACTTCATCGCATCAGTTCGCGACCTCCCCTGGCGCGTTTAGTGGCCGTGACGATTATTGCCCCTCAGCGCCTGTAGGCGCCTGTCAGTGTCTGCTTGCTTGACAAACCTGCTTGAACCACTTACGGCCTTTTTGTTCTCTTTGTTCACGTTGATACCGTCGTGAATCTCATGGTTGAGCTTGTTCAATGTTTTCTTGTCATTCCTTCCCCCGTTTAGAGACGAGGCTTGTTTGTACTCCAAGGCTTGGGCTTTCTCGACCTGTGAGCACACAGTAAGTATTCAAAGCTCGACATTTGCCCACTAGCGTCAGATTCCTGGTGTTGCATTACCTTATTGAGGCCCTTGACCAGCTTCCTGTTGGATGGATCGGCGGTATGCTGGTTCCTTTCGCGCTGTCTCTGTCCTGCCCTGATATCGGCTTTGAGCTCACCCTGTTCCTTGCGGAAATTCTTCGTCCCTTCAGCCTTCCTGACATCCTTGACTTCGTGCAGCTCGTCCTTTTGTATGTGGATGTTCTTCTGGATTCCCTTGGCCGTAGTCTTGGAATTCTTTAGACCGTCTCCCTTCCTGTTGGTGGACCTCTCAAACAAGCCATCTAAAGGCATTGGTAGAGGCACAGCAACAACCAAGGCGACGAGGAGGAAGAGAGAGAGAAAGAGCCGAGAGTAATGCATATTGAGGGGCTTGTGACAAGGTGCTGCGCCTGAATACGAAGCGAGATAGGCAAGTAGGTATTGTAAGTGTACTTTGATGATACAATGTCAAGATCGACTTGCTTGAAGATGTGTGAGAAGCTGGCGTCCCCAGCTGAAATATATAGATCTTGCGATTGACCTTCAAGATGGACGCTCACTAATATTCTTGATACTAGTGGGCAGCATGTGGGCCTTTCCCGAGGGACGCTCGTAATGATCCCCATATGAAGAAAAAATGCCCTGGTGTGAGAAGCCGCGATGCTTCTGTTGGTTATCTTGCTCCTTTGTGAAGAAGCTTTTCATGTTCCCACATGGAGGCCATCGCACGATGCCGGACCTCATCTGAAGTCGGGACCTGTCTAGCTTTCTGACTAGCTTTTCGACAACCCAGCCTTTTGGAAAGCTTTCGGAGAAATTCAAGACGAGGAAGGACTAGGCGCATCAGTTCGTTAAGTTAAATCTGCCTTCAACGCCTCGTTGTCGGTCGACTTTGGGCACCGTACTGGCCGGAAAAGGATGTCGTGTCGCTAAATCTCGATGCCTTCCCTCCGGAACCGACATAATCAGAAAGTCACTCTGGTTGAAGAATCTCGATTGTAGATGATCCCACATGTGCACCCGGTAGCGATCCCTTGTATTCGAATCACGTTGCGTGTTCTCCTGGTCTAGGCCACAGGCTCGAAGTGAAAACTCGGACTCTTTCAGCTGTCTCGTCTCTCCGCAGGTGCGAGTAGGTAGTCTCGTTCATATCCCACTAAATGAAGTACGTAACATCATTGACTACAGATTCGTTGAATTAGGGTCACTTTAAGGCCAAGTCGCCCAAGAAATGAATTGCTGTATTACTGCAGGCACTGGCGTCAGAGACAGGTTTTAATTATCATGGTGATGAACCACTGAGATTCACCCGCAATTGCATAGCACGTTTTCTCGTGAGTCAACTCGAACATATCGTGGCCGTGGAAGGGGCTAGTCGATCGTCGATTCAAAAATATTCTTTTCGAACGCGGCAAGGCAAAAATGGCTTGGTAAAACACTAGTGACAACTTTGGTAAACACGACTGATTAGAATAGCAGAATCCCCGAAGTCCAAAAAGAAGCTGAAGTCTCGACCTCCAGGAGAACCATTTGACAGTATCTACCGGGTAGTTATGACGTAACTGAATCCATATTCTTTCGAGGTGCAGCAGATCGTGATCGGCGGGGTTCGAGGAGTCGGGAGTGGAACAGCGCGGTATTCTCAGGGCGATATCCAACCAAATCCAGCCGGGAAAACAAGCAAACCTGGTGTTAGGATTGGCTGAGATCATCTAGATTTAACGCAAACGAATCCGAAAGCACACCACTCGCGGCTTCGAATACCCTATCAGGCATGGGGCCGGCCTCCATCTTCGTCCGTGTCGCCGCTAGCGGCCGGTGAGCGGAGTGTGAAAGTTTAAGCTTACTTGCCAATTCGCGCGAAACCCAATCAATGGTGCCGATATTTTGAAGCTTGTCGTTCACGCATGCTTTGGAGTCAAACTACTTTGGGCATGTTGAAGGATTAAGGTTTCCGAGCTCTCGTTTGCAACATCCTGATGGCGGGGTAAGTTGAACAGCAGGAGTAGATGAATGTCGAGATTTGAGTAAGTGGACACGAGATGTCGCGAGCGTAGCAGACTGAGTGTCGTCTGAATGTACTCTCCTCGGGTTTGTCGTCTAAACAGGCGCGTCAAGAGGACCGCTGTCAAGCTTGTCAGTGTTACACAAAACCCCTCAAAACACCAGTCGATCATCCGGTGACCAGCTGTTCCCGTGCAGTCCCGAGATGTGTGAAGCAGTTCATGAGCTCATCATCTAGATTGATTATGACCCGTCAAACTAACGCCTGCGAATCAATTGTTTGCTCCTTCTCTTTCCAGATCTGTTCTAGACTGTTTCATGCAGGTTACCCGCTAGGAACCATGCCCTCAGTTGATCTCTGGCTCTTTGCTCCTTGCTCAGTCCACTTAAACTGGCCGCGGGACCCTCGGGTGGCGGGCGGGCGTACCTGATCGACAGATCCCATTCCCGGGACACGGCGAGTCATGAATGAAGCTGAGCAGTCGTGTACAAGGAACAGGTCTGACGAACGATCGTTGATGCAACTGAAGACAGCTATGATAGATGGGTGGAAGGGGATGTCTAGGTTGCCAGGATCATGGGCGTCGGGCAAAAAGTCCCGATGAAAAAGGCAAATGCCTACATGCTCATGGAGGGGGTCTCCCGAACTCGGATCCAACCGACGGGGTTGTCTGGTGACCATGGACTTTTGCTTCTCGAAAAAGTAAACTTGACGCTTGATGGAGATGACAAAGCAATCATCCTTCTTCGGTTGGAAGTGAATCCCAGACGATTCAAACGCCACAAATCTAGCTCCCGCCAATCCTAGGCACCAGAGCGATCCCGCTTCTTCAGTCAAACAAGTTTGCATAGGTAGGCAGGCCAAAAGGGCGATCCACTAGCACTATTGTCTTTTTAGACATAACACCAATTCATCCATGTCGCTGCGCGGGCAGTTTACCGCCCTGTCCTCAAGTTCGCAGGGATTTGGGTTTCAATCAATGCGATCTTCCATTTACGGTGAGCGACGTCCATCTTTTAGACACAACGCTTTCTTTCAACGCTGTACAGTGGGCGACTCTAGCTCGTAATGTAATTCCTTGCCCTCGCGGAAAATGGAGGGCCGGATCCCGGGCAAGGGCGAAGACTATGAGGACGTACGACGATAAAGACGCACGACAAGGAGGATGCCGACAGCAAATGATCCCAGCGTGCATGAGCGGTGGTTGATACGTTCCCACCAGCCAAATTATCAAGGTCCAAGCAAGGTGAAGAATGTGCAAGTGTAGGTTCTGTTCAATGCTGCACATATCAGTTGTGCTTCTGCACAGCTGTCAAAGATTGTAAAATGCGGCAGAGAGAGGAAAAAAAGATGCATCCTTTTGACTAAGATTAGTCTTGAATGTCTTGAATTGGGTACGTGGTGTTCTACCTAACTATCAAGATGGGAGTGACTGAAAA